GGGTTTAGGGTTTAGGGGATTCAAGATAACATACGTGACTCTTGTAAACTTGGCATCCAGACAGAACCTGAACGGCCTGCAGCCAAGGCACAATAATTCTTTTCCACTTTCCCATAGTCGCGGTAAAGCACCGACCATGGCATGATTTGAATGGGGATCACGATCTGCCACCATCCACACCTGCCACATTTCTTGCAGTCGCGAGCATCCGACCAGGATCCAGTGACCCGACTCTTTTCAATGGAAGCCCCAATACAAATGCAGTCAGAACCTACTACTTTCTAGGGTTATGAGTACTGCCTTGTGGGAACTACAGGGTCATGAAACCCTGAACCCTAAACCGTAGGGTTCGACTCCCAATCGTGGCGCGCAGCCCAGCCTCGGGTCCACGGCGGGAGCTCCCACATCGCACGGCCCGAGCCCGTGGAATTGAAGTTTGCAACGGGGTCTTCGAGCAGGGAGTTCTGATATTGCTTCAAAGTACGACAACACGAATATTATGACGATCATCTTATCGGTATGTTGCTGTCGTATAGTGCTACTATATGAAAAGCAGGGTTAGTCGCATGTAGTGGTCGGCTGTCCCAAGCAAGCTTTGCCATGAAGTGTTCTGCGTGTTCGGACTCATCGATGCAACGCCAGCTGTGAGCCAGTGTGGCGCACCTTGGCCGCGTCTCTGATCATCTTCCTATCTGGTCGTGCAAGCCGAAACCGACTAGGTCCCCAGCACCCACGAGCCCAGAACCCAGCCCGGTGCAAAACGAAGTGGCTATCCGAGGCGTCACCGGCCATGTAGGGGCAACAGCCTCAAAAGCGTCTTGAAAATGCTGGAGTGTAGAATGCTTTCCGACTTTTGTATGCTATCTGGCTCACGGTATAGCTACATTCCATTGCCTGTTGTTTGAGAGCTTGGGGGATCTTTCCGAGTGAACAGGGAACCCAGGGCCTCCTGCTATAGGGCTTTGGGTTTAGGATTTAGGGTTTAAGGTTTTGGGTTTTGGGTTTTGGGTTTCTGGTTTAGGGTTCAGGGTTCGGGGTTTTAGGGGGTTTAGGGTTTAGGGTTTAGGGTTTTGGCTTTAGGGTTTAGGGTAATTATAGGGTTTAGGGTTTAGGTTTGTCATCATTACGATGGCCGTGTGATTCCCATTCTTACACCCATAACCCTAAAGCCCTGAATCCCTAAAGCCTCACCCTCACATCCTAAATCCCTCTAGAACCCTCATAGTTGTCCTGAACGTAACCCTTATGCTGAAACCCCAAACCCTCAAAAAACGAAACTGCAGCCGTCATTCCTATTATCACACTACATCACACTGCACCCTAAACCCTAAACCCTAAACCCAAAACCCAAAACCCTAAACCCTAAACCCAAAACCCTAAACCCTGACCCCAAAACCCTAAACCCTAAACCCTAAACCCAAAACCCAAAACCCTAAACCCAAAAACCTAAACCCTAAACCCTGAACCCAAAACCCTAAACCCTAAACCCTAAACCCTAAACCCAAAACCCTAAACCCAAACCCTCAACCCTAAACCCTAAACCCTCAGTGCTCGGGATGGCTTTTGCCCTGCTGCTCGCCAGGGAGCCCAGGGCGATCGGGTTGGGTTCAGGGTTCGGGGTTTTAGGGGGTTTAGGGTTTAGGGTATAGGATTTAGGTTCAGGGTTCGGGGTTCAGGATTTGGTTTTTTTTAAAGCTTCGGGCTTGGCTTTCGGGTTTGGAGCTTAGGCTTTAGGGTTTAGGGTTTAGGGTGTAGGGGTTTAGGGTTTAGGGTTTAGGGTTTAGGGTTTAGGGGGGGGTCCTGGCTCAATGATGCGAAAAATGAGGCTAGCAATGATGCTAACAAGCAGCATGGCATCGAGAATGAACGGCTTTGCATCCCTGAAACTGAACCCCCCAAACCTGGCAACCGAAACCCCAAACTCTAAACCCTAAACCCTAAACCCTAAACCCAAACCCTCCAAACCCAAGCCATAAAACCCCTAAATCCCAAAAAACCTCGCAGAGGGACTCCTTGCCCCGGCTGGGTCCCACCTTCGGGGGGCAGGGTCCGCTGGCTGGCATCGTTGGCACCGCCGGCAGCCGCACTGGCAGTCGAGGCTTGAAGTTCTTGAAGATTTTGGGTAGTCGGGGGGTTTAGGGTTTGGGGTTTAGGGTTTAGGGTATAGGGTTTAGGGTTTAGGGTTTGGGTAGTTGGGGGGTTTAGGGTTTGGGGTTTAGGGGGGAGTGGTCTGGCAAATTTGCAATTAGAGTTGAAGGTATGCGGTATTGGACATTAGAGTGCAGAGAGGAGAGGTCAGGCTTTAGGGACTGAGGGTTTACACTTCGGGCTGTGGGGTTTGGTGGTCGAAGGATTTGGGCGTGGGCATTTTCAAGCCAGAATGTGGGATGTGACTTAGTGTGACGAACGACACTGCTCGTTCCCACAACCCGAGAACGACCAGTAAGTGTAAAGGTTATAACTGCCTTAATTGGGGTTATACTTACTTAGAAGTATAGTTACCTTATGTATAACCCCAGTTGCTAAGTCCCATGATCCTCCAAGTAAACACCCGGCCCGGACGACACGGCTCGAGGCTTTGAGGCAGGGCTTAGGGCTGGCTGGCCTGCTCAAGTTGACCATGTAGGTCGGCTGCGAGATGTTCGTGGCATCATAGCACAGCATCTTCCCCCTTCACATACTGGGCTTTAGGATTTGGAGCTTAGGGTTTAGTGTTGGATGCTGGGTCCGGAAGCGATTGTATGTTCAAGATGCCATTCAAGGTTGCGTAGCACTGCTTCCAAAAGACTTCTAAAGTTGGCATTGGCATCCACTACAACGCCCCTTACCACCGCAAGTACATCACCAATGAGATCTGTCACGAAAACGGCGCGAAAACCCATGGAACTTAAGCCCACGATCCTAAAGGGTTTAGGGTTTAGGGTTTAGGGTTTTTCTTTTGAGCACCTTTTGCCACCTCGCTAGTCTTGGGTCCGTAGAATCCACATTGTGGAAGGCACATTGTCCACACCCTGTGGGTTTAGGGTTTAGGGTCTAACCTCCACAAACCCTAAACATCAAACTGCCTAAGCCCTAAACAGTTACCCTAAATCCTAAACCCTGAATCTTAAACCGCTCAATACCACAAAACACAGTTAGGAAGCGTCAGCGCACCGCGAGCATCACATGAGTCGACCCCCGCCTTAAGCAGGAGTTATGAAGCGGCGATGACTTTGCAAGGACCTGCAACTGGAGCAGAGCACATGCTTAAATCAGTGTACTTGTATTACTGGCTGTCTATCCGTCTATCCAACATGACATCTTGCGCAACTTGCTCTCTATCACTTTCACGGTACAGCAGTAAGTTGATGCAACTCTGAACGCTAAATACTGAACGGAATGCGCACTACGCAAAGCTACCGAGTGCTGCGAAACACGATTCAGAATCACAACAAGCAAGCTGCTGTGACAAGATGAAAAGACCATGTCGAATGTGTCGCCGTGCTGCGCAGTATGGGTGCCGTGTTTACATGAGGGCCACCTGCAAGACACAAACTGAAAATGTGCGTTTTGTGACTTTGTGAGACATTGATTCTATGCTGAGATGCCCCAGTAATACGAAGGATAGCAAAACATACTTCCGAATTGTTCATGGGTACGGTGCAAAAGCTTGTACAAACCAAACATAGCATAGCAGTTGAATGCGACGCCAGAACGCAGTTGTACACCTTGCCTAAATCTTCTATGTGACAAAATCAAACTAACGCACAAACGTGTACCTGCTTGTATGCCTACACATACATAAGCAGATGCTGGGGCACATATTCTGTCTTCCTCCTTCTTCCTCAGGGTTCTGGGGGCGTGTGAAGCTCCCCGGCCACATAGGCCCCCCGTTTCGTGCGGCACGCTCGCTCTCTCTCTCTCTCTCTCTCTCTCTCTCTACATATGTATACATATATACATATACATGTACGTGTGTATATATATATATATACCTACATACATTTACATATTCATATACATAAATATATATATATATAGAGAGAGAGAGAGTGCTTCTATACAGTGATAGTATGTACATACGCACATACATACATACATGCATGCATGCATGCATACATGTTTGCATGCATGCTGCATGCATGCAAACATGCACACATGCCCACGTATACATATGTACATGTACACATGTCGGCATGCATGCATGCATGTATGTATACCGCTGTACGTCTGTATGTCTTCACATTGTGTGCATGCATTCCTGCATGCACGTATAAATTTGCGCGAGTGTGTGTGTGTGTGTGTATGTGTGTGTGTGTGCGGACATGTGTCTATACTCAAGTTGTCTGTATGTAAATTATGTATTTGTGTGAGTATGTATGTAGGCCGGAATGAATATTCTTGTTGTGTTCTCACGAGCACAGTGTGATGAATGTGGGGTAATGCGCTGCTGATGCTGATAGATTGTGCCGACTGCAGTCAAGAAGCAAAGTATGGTCAGGGTATGGCTGTGATTATGACGGTGGTTTATGGTGCTGCCCTTGGCGATGACTTTGACCATGCTGCCTACCAGTACGGTAGTAACCACCTATGATGGCTGTGTTTGTGGCTGCAGCCTACGGCAGCCGCAATCGTCATTCCAAGCTCCATTCGTCGCTTCTGCGAGCAGCATGGCGATAGACATTACACGAGGCTCTGATTTAGGGGCCTTAATAACTATATAGTTTTGGGGGCCCATTATACTATAACAATAATAAGGAACCCCCAAACAGTATAGGTGTTTTCTTAGGCCTTAGGCCCTAGATTATCTCGTCCTTTCCCCCAAAAGCCCTTCGGCTCACCCCGTGCCCTCTCCTTCATGCTCCGCGATGTCAGACTCGAACTTCTGGCCTCGCAACTGACGAAAGGAAAGGGCACATTCGCCCTCCTCGCAGTCGTCCGGCAAAGCCAAGCAAAGGCCGAGAAGGCCCAAAAGTAGTCGGGAATGGACCATGATTAGGTCACCGCTCTTCACACAAGAGAAAATAGCAGCGCTTTTTGTAGCGAGACTCGAGCCAGACAAGAGCCCAAGAGGAGGCTGAGCGCTCTGATTCGATGTGTACCTGCCCGGCTACGTTGCTTTGGAAGTGGCCATCGCCACCAAGACGATCATCATGTACCTGTACATGTCACTATCAGCATCACCACCATTACCTATATCATCATCTTATTACTCCTTCTATGACCATGCTTTCGTAGTGTGTCTACTGTTGTAATTACTCTTCCGAAAGGTCCCTGGAGGGCCAAGGACGGATGAGGCCTGTAAATCAACCGAATGCAACAATCTGTTCAGAGGGCTCCATTTAAAAGGACCCCGGCCCCAGGGAGCGTGGAGTGAGCTCTTGATGCTTCTCGTCTTGCTTCAGGGGCTAGGAAGAGGCCCGCAGATCACACGATTGTTGCCTCGGCTTGTCCATGCCCTACAACCCA